TAGTTACCTTGTACATTCCAAACACAAACTGCAGTAGAAATTATAACAGAAAATACATATTCAATTATCAGCTACAGATTCAGAGCAACAATAAAACTGAAATCACTATATTTTCCTAAGGATAGAGAGAGCAAAGAGCTCAAATTGTTCCTTTTGAAATTTCTACTGTGTAACATTATGCAATGCCATATAAAAATTGGGTGATGAAAGCCTATAAAAAGTGCCTGAAATTCTCAATATATTCTACATCTATAAGCTTAAATAAATCCATTTTGAGGACTCCATCATATCTACCACACATGAAATTTTTTTACAGCTACAAATGTAATAGCTCATGCTTTTGCTTCCTCACAGTATTATAGTTCCTTCATGGACAGAAATCATTTAGTGAACAGAAGAGAAACGTAGACAAGCTCTAATTTTCTGTACAGTGGCAACTGCATTCATTATGCATTAAAATAGCACTTTCCCTGAAAGAGTTAACTTTCTAGCTCCTATTCTCTGCAGTGCTGCATAAACACTGCACATTATTCTTACTGAGCATGCTTCATCTTCCCTGTCTCCCCAGTCTTGGGCTGTCAATCACCTGTCAGTCCCTACCACATCAGCACAGTGCGCATCACCAGGCTGTCAGCACAGCAGCTGATGAGACTCTGCTAAGAGCTGTCAATCAAACTTGTTTCTCTTATCTGTTCGGGAAATATTTTGTCTCTGAGAAACAAAGAACCTGGGCAACAATGGATCAGAGTCTAGTATTTACTCTTTTACAGGGATAGAAGCCTCTTAACGGGAAATGAATGCTTTATCCACAACAAGGAAACAAAAATTCTGCGTCATTAGGCATATTTTCTTTTTTTTCTGTTTTGTTTAAATCCTATTTATTTCTTGAACAAACAAATCAGGGCATAATATATTAAAGCAAATTTCTTTTTGCTCTCACTGTAGAGTGAACTTCATGTGTTTACGTCCTAGTTTCTGTTGACTATAATTCAGTGCAGTGTAAGACAGGTAGCATCTCTACTTTTGGGAATCTTTCCTTGTCTTTTCGCATTGGAATTGGATGCATGAGGTTTCTCTCCATCTCAGGGTAGCCAAGCTACCCTGAAAAGCCAGACAAGAGAAATGCATAATTTACACCTTTGTTAACTTAAAATATATCTTTATTTTCTGCAGCATTTTCATTAAAATTTCAACACAGAATTCAGTAATATAAGTAGGGTTCAGACCAAAAGAATAGCTGAGGGGTACAAGCAAGTATGAGAAACACATATTTTCAGTGTCTGTTTGAAAGAAGATAGTATCTCCTTTCTGGAATGCTGTGCCAGGGAGAAAGGATTGCAGAAGGTAAAGTTCTTGCATGTACAGAAATCAAATACTGAAGAAAGACAAAAGGAGCTGTAAAGATGGGCACAGCAGCTATTTCTGGTCTGACACAGAATCTCTGCATGAAAAAGTTAAGCTGGGCTTTCAAGTCACATCTATCCAAGGCAGAATATTGTTCTGCACAGATAACTAGGTCTAGGTCTAACAAACCTGGCAATCAAATTAATTAAAGCAGGTGGATCACTGAACTAACAAACCTCTGCTCTTCCCAGGGCATAAGTAAGTATTTTTACATGCTGTGCCATACAGATACAGGGACATTTAAAGCTAGCTCGAGTATCAATTCATAGTGTTGCCTGATGTGAAGCAAAGTAAACATAACCCAGTGACTTAAAATCCCCATTTTGAACCATATCTATTTTTCCCTACAAATGAAAGCATCTCAGAGCTGACAGTTGAAGAGAAACATTGAGAACAGCAAAGGGAAGAAAACTGCTTTTCTCAGTATAGAGAGGAGAGCTGTGAAACATGGTAATATGAATGAAACACCTAAAAATATTTTGCGTTCTTCATAAAGCTGCAGTTTTGAGCCACGAAAATAAATAAGCAACTTTGTTTTCTGAGACAACAAAAAAAAAGTTCAGTTCACAACCCTTATAATCTCTTGGACAAAACTGTATATTAAAGTTAAACCAGAAAGAGAGGCAAATAAAAGTGTTTTGGTTTTTGTTTTTTGTTTTTTTTTTTTAAATCTTCTACCATTTACACAAACACTGATTTACAGGCCTGCTCTAAACATTTGCATTGGCCGTGGAGTTGGACTGTTCAGGTAAGAGCAGAGGGCAGAGAGAGCCAGCTGGGAAACAGGCTATGATATGAAACTCACAGAAAGAAAAAGTTTACAGCAACCAAGAGAAAAAAGCCCCAAAGAAATTTGGGAACTGAACTCAAGATCAGTGCCCAGCAGCCTCCCACAACATTCTCGAGGGGCTTTGAAGAAGGAACCTGGGGCAAAACAGTGTGCTTCTTCACGTCTCTGATGGCTTAGCACAAGGGCTAAATAGCCCCTGAGAAGAAGGAGGGAAATGGACTGGGAATTGCCATAACCCGGAGAAAATGAGGCCACGGACAGCAAAAAAGTTTTGTCCTTTCCACACACGCACACATGCAATGGGGTTTTTTGAATTTGTTTGCTCCAAAAGAGAATATTTTAGTTCTCAGAAGAGGGAAAACATTGCCTAAAGGAAAAAAAAAATAAGGTGGTGGCCACAACCAATGCCAGAGATGTCAGCAAACTCTCACAGGCTGAAGCAAGACAAAGGCAGGCAATTTTGACCTGAATCCTAGAGCAAAGGCAAGAGGTTGGCATCTTTCATCACTTTCAGCTTTATAAACAACTTCTCAAAGGATGCCTTTTTCTCTTTTCCTGGGTCTTATCTTGGTTCCCTCCATTACTGTCTGCGCATGCAAGAGTAAGAACAAACAATTTGTCTTTTCTCTTTCCTCTCTGCCAGTTCCAATGTGTTTAATGCCCTCTCCATCCTAAAGAGCATACACACTAGGCAAGGAGGCAGGTGTCTTGCTGGAGACAGCACAGATGAAGAAAAGGGCGATTTTGCTTCACTGCTTTCAGAACCCCATGTTCGGTGCTGCAACCATGTGCCATGGGCTCCTAACAGGAGCCACAGCCCCTGGTCAGCAATTCCACCAGCTTGGAATGGAAGTTCTGGGTGTCACTGTGGTTCTTGGGAGTTGCCAAGGGTACTCATAAGAGAACAGCAGAGCCTGAGCATGGCTTGGACAAGCAAAACAGACCTGTAAGGGGAGCAGACTTCTCTGTTCTCAATTCCTGGTCATGGTTTTGGACACAAAGTTCCCAACTAGGAAGAGAGAGCTACTCTTAGCATGTAACTTTCACTCTGCAGCCACCACAAGCAATGCCAAAGGTGTCCCCAAGCAGGGACCTGGACAGCACAGAGGCCTCAAGACTCCTCTTAAAGCCTTCTCAGAAGGCAATGGAAGTCTCAAACTGGAACAGCCACAAGCATGCTCTTCAGTTTCACTGAGTTAGAATACTGCTCATGTCAAAAAGCATCACTAATACTGTAGTTCAGTAACTACTGACTTACTATTAACTATTCACTACTTACTAAATATCAACTAACAAAGGAAAGGAAACATTAATTACCAGCAAAGAGCCTTAAATGCAGAGCTTCAATTCCAGATGCTGAGAATAAACCAATCTTGTGCAGAGGTCAGAAATTAAAACTAGAGGAAAAATTTTGTGTACTAGTCACTTTTAAAAGCATGACTACAGTAACTCAATCTTTCAATCATTCTTATCAGCAACAATGCTAAGAATCCCAGTATTACCTCATGCCAAACTGTCCCAGTTACAGACAATGCAACCATTATCAAGCATTTGTGACAACAGGAGTATTTTACACGTTGACAAATTCTTTCATATGCAGCACTGTTTTCCAGAATCACAACTCCCTCTGATCTAACTGGACATTAATTGCTTTTTTGCTGATGTATCTGTGCCTTCTGGACTGATAACACAACTAGCAAATCTGATATCTGACAAGTTGACTCAACCTAATCAGGACAGATCAGCTGTTACCAGCGTTGCTATAGGCTGTAATTTGAGGACCTTTAGAGAGTTATCACTTGCTTTGAAAAGGAAGAAACTGTAATTCTGTCAACACTAATCCCAGAAACGTGCATTCTAAGTGGTTGTTATTTTTTCTCCAGAAGAAGGTAACACTTGTCAAATAAATACCTGAGATAATTGATAATAGGAATTACAAGTATGTGAGTGATAGGCTGACAATCAGTCACTCTCATGAAAAAGAAGAACCTCACAAGATTCAGAACATTAAATAGAGAGCACAATCTGTCACCATGAAGCAGGGGTCACTCTGAATGGAGTCAAACAATTGGCAGTGCAGTTTTTCAATATTTACTTCCCTCTCTGTTGCTTGGTGCTAAAGCTGAGTGAATTATTCACTTCAAACAATTTATTCGATGAATTTTATCCCTTTTTGCTGCTCAGCGTGTACAGGCAATGGATTCCAATGCCATCAGATTTATTCACGGCTTCACTTTTATTCAAGCTTTCACTTAGTGCTCAGTGGAGAGTATTCCAGGCTTCCACTGCTGCTCAGACAGCATCCAAGTCTGATCCTTAATGTGGGCAAGCAGCACAGATCCACACTGTTGATGGAATAACACTTATCTACATCAGCAAGGACAGAGATTTTATTTTGTTGTTTTTCTGATCCCTCTTTAATTTTGGAAGCCCTTCCAGCAATAATACTGATATTTGCTATGAAGTTCCCTTTCTGTGAACAAGACTCAACACTTGAATTTTTGCAGAAGACAAATTACCAAAGAGTGCAAGCACAGCCACAAAGCACATTAAAAAAAAAATCCAAAGATTGTATTTTATCATTTGCTTCATTCCACTAGGAAATAATTTATTTTCATGTAATAAAACTCAGAGGAATTCCATAAAAAAATTGATTCCCAATTCATGGAATTCTTTAATGTAACTTAATAGTCACTGAATATACACAAGTGACTGTGTCATTGCCAGGGTTGCGTCTGTCTTGTACAGATAAACTGTTTTTAGAAACTCATACTTAACATTAGAACAAAAAATATACATTTCTTACTGTATCGCTTTGGTCCATCTTCCAAACAAAATGAAAGTGTTAAGGTTGCATCATCTTCAAAAAATTCAGTTGCAAAGGCATCCCACCAGAGGTTGTCACTATCCTAGGAAGCAACAGATCATTCACTTAACAGGAGGCAAAATGAAAATATGTTTATCTGTTGTAAAAGAAATTCAACAGGATCACACCTAGTTTGGCTCCTTCACTTGTGGTTTTGGGGTACAGATGTCTATATGATATTTCAAACTAATTTTTCCTAGATAAAGTTCTAGTTCTAATTTAGGAAAAAAACCTGAAACGCTTAATTTACTGTACAATAAACTTTCATTTAATCCAGCATACTAAATATGTAAAAACTTTTCCATAACATTTTTTCTCTAAATGTTAGATATAGTTTTATAAATCAATGGCAAATAAAGCAATTATGAGTTTTCCCTCCTTTTCTGGGCTATGTGTCTCAAATGCTTGGTCCTGGTAATGAAAAATCCTTCAGTACTTAATTCTATAATGCTACATAACCTCATCATCAGCACAAGATGACAAGAAAATTATTTAGAAACTAAATATAATGGCCATTCTACTCCAGTGCATTTAATATAAATACAATACTTCAGGTTGATTAAATACCAGCTAGTTACTCAAATGTAATTGTTGTGAGAAATCTTTACTTTTAAGTGTGATACAATAAGTGAAAAAAAAAAAATGTTAAGATGACTTGTGCATACTTAGACTTACAGTAATACACATAGCTGGAGCAGGGCAATTATTAAAACAGTGAACAATGTAAAACACATACTAACACAGCACTATAGGTAGTTTCTTGACTTTAACAATTGAACCAGGCATTTTCAGACCTGGATGATCAACAACAAGCACCCAAACTTCAATGTCTAGCGCCTGAGCAAGTGGTCTAGCTTGCAAGGGTTTTACAGAAGTTGGGCAACACAAAACCCACCACATGTTTCGTTCAAAATCTATGGATATATTTAATAGCTGGATTAGAAATTTTTGGTTCAGTCTCTTCTGCTCCTTTGAGGCCCCAAGACTTGTAGCACACAAGGTCAGTAACAAAGCTGGAAATACACTTCTGAAGATGCCCTGGCTGTACTCCACTCTATCCCACTCACAGCACCTTCCTTTCCAGTGAGCAAGGCCAGGTTCACTCAGCAGAGTGAGGTCTGAGCACTTCTTAATGCCTGAGCAATATAGATCTAAGCCAGAGATGAAGCAAACAAAAGTTTGCTTCACAGGAAAAAGATCCTGAGATAGAATACCAATTTAAAAGAAAATATGCATCTATCATATTCATTATGTACACATGCAGAGCAATCTGGGGATTTTAGTTCTGCTGCTGTATTTCCTGATGATGTTACTTTTGGATTTCACTCCAAAATGTTAAGCAAGGTATACTTCCTCCCTCTCAATTTCACTTTGAGTTTTTGTCAAGCATCCAATGGAGAAATGGTAAGGACAGGTTTTAACAATCTGGTTCCTTCCAGAGACCCTAGAGAGACTTCTTGTCTGAGTCAGAGCCTGTAATACACTTTCCCTGCCAAGGCTCATCCAACCTGGCAGTGACAGGATCATACAGCCCTGCCATTCAGTCACACAGAGAGGTATCAAAGCTGTCCCCACATCTCAGAAATCTGCTGTCACAGAGAGCTGTTGTTCTTTCCTGCTGTAAACCTGATGAGTGCTCCCATGTGCAAACACTGCTGTGTTGAGTAGCCAAGCAGCCACAACAGTAAGCATGGAACACACCGTGTTAGGCATGGAATACACAGAGGTAAGCATGGAATAGACAGTGTTAGGCATGGAGTACACAGAGGTAAGCATGGAATACACAGTGTTAGGCATGAAACACTCACAGGTGTTCACCACACTTCTGCACAGGGCCCTGCACTCAGCACAGCCTGGGGGTTGCATTACAAGCCCAAACAAGAGTGCATTGTCCAACAAGCAGCTATGAGCTCCCACTCTGCCTTTGGCTAAAGAGAGGCTGCAGAACCATTGAACCTTTTGGACATACTTGTCAAAGGGAAGGAAGAGTGGAGGGAATAATTTCAGCAATGCCACACACCACATTTGCAGCTCTTGTTAATGTAGTAGAGTATCACTGGAGCTACACCTGTGCATCCAATGACATGGGAACAGAAAGGACAGCATGGCATAGCCGGACTTAACTGCATGTGGGAAAGATAGAGAAGAGTAGGGAAAGTGCAGGGCCTCTCCTCAAAACCACACATATCTGCACTCACACGGGCTCCCAAGAAGTCTTGAAAGCAAGAAGAATGTGGAAATGGAATTACTGTGGATTCCCTCCCTGGCTGGATGAAATATCCAGACTCTCTCACAGTTTGAACACAGTCCAAAGTCTTTATCTTAAGCTTTTGCATATTTTAGGTGAGGAAGAAAGAAAAATATAAAATGCAATACCCCACCCCAGAAAGAAAACTCGACCTTAAAAAAGAGTATATAAATCCTGTCAACCTTTGAAATACTCTCTTGGATTAATTTTCTGTCCCACCCTTGTCACAGGTGGGCCCACCTACTCTCAAATACAAATGTGAACAAAACCCAATGAGGTGTCCCCAGCCAAACCAAAATAGGATCCAGTTATTAAAAAAACCCTTTTTTTTTCTTTTTATTTTTAAAATTTTTTTTTTTTTTTTTTTTTTTTTTTTTTTTTGCAAAATGGGGATGGTGAAGGCAAGACTGCCCTCAGGCATCTTTAACTTATGCTTTGACAGGTTATGGGGGATTTCGCCAGAGTAATTATTTTTCTATTCAACAATAATGAGAAATTACCATGGCAACCTCCCTTTCACATAGTGCACTCACATGCTCAAACACTGAAATAATGGCCTAAACATAACCAAAAAAATATTATTTCTCTAAAAATATTTTGTATTAAAATAAATTTAAGGAATAGGTCACAGGAGAGAAGAGGGCAGACACAGCCACAAGTTGGGTCAGGAGTGAAGATGCTGTGCTGCTGTGGCCAGGTACCCAAGCAGCAAAACGACTTCTTCCAACAACTGTCATTGTTCCCTCTGATCCCCTCCACCCCTGGTATTATTTGTAATTTGAAGCATGGCTCAACTCTGAATAGGGTCTCCAAGTAAATGGAATCCTACTGTTTCAATATTTTTTCCTGACTCTGATTTTCTTTGGCAAAGGTAATCAGATTTTAAGTACAATGTTCTTTTTCCCCCTCCATCTAAAAGTCCCGTATGTTCACTGTGTGATCTGAGAGTCAAGCTGGGTTCTTCTTTACACCTTACACACTTACATGATTAAGAGTCTGCAAGCTAAATGAGGCTTTTCCACTTGCCTGTGATAGATCTTGCAACTGGAATATGAGGCCAACTGAGACTATGGCATTTCCTCCAAATTCTTTTTTTTTTCTTTAATGACTTGGAAGGCAGAATGGACTGACATAAAAAGCCAGTACATGAAATCACACTTTAAAGGATGCAGATACCTTGCAGGACAGAAGTGGAATTCAAAATGATTTTGACAGATTGGAGAAATGATGTGGAATGAAGGTGAAATTCAATAAAGTCAGGTGACAAAAGAACAAAAACAAAATGGGGAATAACTGACTAAGCAGTACTGTAGAAAATGGTCCAGATCATGAAGCAAATATGTCAGCAACCAATTGCTCTTGGAAATAAGGCAAACGTCTTAGATACAATACCCTTCCACTCCAGCAAACACATCTCTGGAAAGACTTCAACTGGAATAGTCTGTCCACTTGTGGAGTACTATGGCCAAGTCTGGGCCATCCACTCTTAAAGGAATTAGCTGAGAACCACAGCAATCAATGAGTTTAAATTCACATGCAAACAAACCAACCAACCCAAAAAGACTCAGAGGAAGAAAGGTAGAAGGATCTAGCTGTGTTTTGTATAAGACAGAAGAAACTCACAGGGAACATGATGTCAGTCCTCAACTATATGAAAAGATTGCTATAAAGAAGAGTGAACGCTTGTCCTTGGTGGCTAACACAGACAGAAGAAGTAATAATTGGCTCAGTTTGCTGCCATTGCAGGTTAAGTGGATTAATGCCCTGTTACAGATTTCTAGGCTAGTGTTTTGCAGAGGGAAAAGAGCTGCAGAGCACAATTGCTGTGTTCCCAAGAGGAGTGGGTATGGAGATCCTGCTGCCCATGAGCCTCTGGCAGAGCCTCCCCTGTACAGCAGCTCCACAGCTCATGCCCAGTGAGAACCTGAATTTGGTTTCTCCCTCACACTGCTTTTGGCTGCACATGTCCAACAGGTGAAAATAGTATATTCAAACAGAGTAACGGAAACAAATAAATACAATTCTGAATACACACAGGAAACACATCTGTTCTGAAGTCAGATTTTTTTTAATAATCACTTTTTAGGGAAAACCTGAATTTTAAACATCAATCTTGGCATTGGACAAGGCAAAAATAAAAAGAGAGTGTGCACTTGGGAGCTTACATTTTTCTTCTGGCATCTGCAACCCTTCCCTATTGACACTTACTATTTTCAGAACTCTATACATCTACATTCCTGTTGGCAACGTATATGTGTCTCATATTCTTTTAAGTTAATGTTGCACAAGGAACTGCTATCTCCCTAAGGAAAGAACGGCATTCCTTCCCTCCTCCTGTTCCCAGCAAATTAAACTAGACTTGAGCTTTCAAAATGCAGTTCAGGATAAGATTATGCCATTAAATACACCTGGAAAAACTCCACAGCTATTACAGATTACAAAACTCACAAGTACTAAAAAAAAAAATCTGACATTGACGTTTATACTCAAAGCAGACAGAAAAACCATGAAAAATAAAATGTCCAAATATAAGAAACCAATATTTTCCCCCTGTAGTTCTAAATTAGACCAATATTGTCTCTACCTAACATATTTAAGATTCTGATACAAATTGCAAATGAGTAACAAATTAATAGGGATCTATATATCTTAATTGTGTAGATTTGGAAATTTGAGTACTCATCTGTAGGTCTGGCCCTACAAAGCACAATGGTTTTATAATCTGGCATAGGGCTTTTTGTTATTTGTATACATTCAGTATGGACTACAGACACTGAGTCCTAGATTGGTTTTCC